GCAGGTGCCGGGACACCTTGTGGAGACTCAGCCCGGTCTGCAAATGTCGAGGGCTGCCAAAACTGAGGCCAAATGATCCCACTCACGCATGTCACACAGGAAAATGAATGCCACCCTGTCTGCTGTCCAGAGCTCAGGGCTGGAGTCAGATCAGCTGAGGAGGTGGAATAACATCTCCTCCTAATATGGTTTGTCTGTAAAGTACATCTGACCTAAGAGCAGCCCAGAGCCTCCTTAGTGGGATGGTACAATCAGGGCAGAGGAGAGCAACCAGGGGAAAAGCTCCCTGAGCTGACTGCATATGTTGCACAAGGGTAGCAGAGCCACAGACCCCCATCGTCCCAGCTGCGCGGGGCCTTGGGGAGCATTGAGGCAGCTCAGCCTTGCTGCACTCTGCACCCCTGTGCCACCATCACTGCACAAAATGACCCCGTTTGCTCCCATTCACCTCATCCCTGACAGTCACAAAACGAGTCCCCACCACACACACCTTCCTGGGAAATCAGGGACCTGAGCCTCAGTCTGGGAGAGCAGTGGTTGTTGGCCTCCCAATACCATATAGCAAAGCTTTGGACCTCATAGAAGTCCAAAAAATGTAACTGTTGTGCAAGAACAGAGGTGATCTATGTGATCTTGAAGGGATCCCTGTAGTAACAAGGTGAAATTCAGGAGAGCGAGGAGCAGCGGTTCATCAGAGCAGTCCCAAGAGGAAAGCTGGGAGAAGCTCTGGCCCCTTCTGCTCCTTCCACCCCTTCAGGACCAGTCTTCACCACGCTCCAGGGCTGGAGCTAGTACAGGTGTTACCTGCAAACCCCAGGGAGTCAGAGCTAGACCCCTCTGCCCTTTCCCACCCAAACTCCAGGGCACCAGCGGGGAACATCTGGGTTGCTTCCCCTGCCCTGGACAGTGACACTACTTGGGCCAGAAACACCATAGACGTGGTAGCTAACAACCCAAGACTGCATCTCAGTCCCCTTTCAGCACCACTCCTCGAACCATCTGTACAATTTACCCCTGTGCAGGGGAAAAGCTGAGAGTAACACACAGATCCTCCTGGGTTGGTAGAGAGCTCAGCGAGGGATGAATACCCTCCGTGAGCAGAGCAGCTATAAACACGGTATCTGTGTAAGGGATCCTGGATGAGGGAAAATGAGCTGGTGATTTCAGTCCCCGGCGTCTCACTTTCACACAAAGCAGTCAAGAGCAAAGCCATACCGATTCAGAAAGGACAACTGAAGTTTCATATTGCAAAAAAACAGGAAGGAAGGAGACAAAAATGCCAAAAAAGCTCAGTGAAGTCTCCAAATGCGTTGGCTGAGTTTGGGTGGCTCTTTCACTGGCGGGGACAGATAGCAGGAAGAGTGAAAAAAGCAGTTGGGGACCAGCTGGGAATTTGGATATCACATTTGCATGTATCCTAGACCATGAGTGCTGGAACAGAGGGATTTAAATGCAACTTCCCTAGGAACAAGAGGCGAACAGGGGACTGCCATGTCCTGAACGGCAAGCCGCAACCATCTCACCAATGCTTTTTCTCAGGAGCTGCTGCCATTCGCGTGTGCTCCCGGCTGTCAGTGTGGCTCTGGGAGGACCTGGGCTCAGCACGATGCTGTCAATGTTTGGTCTCCTTTGGGCCGATCCCAAAGTCAGGGCAGCTTCGCATAAGCTAATTTGAATTTCTGTGTGACCATGATAACATTTGCAGTGGAGACAAGACGTATGCTATATCATGACTACTTCTGGGTATTAAAGGGGATCATGCATGGAAATGAGTAAAACCGAGTCAGGTGAATGGGAACCACATCTTATCCTGAGTTTGCACGTGTTTCTAGACCCAACTCAGACCAAGAATGCAGACATATTCATGAGATTCTTTTCTTTTATCAATTCTGGCTGCATCTGCAGTGGTACACACTCTTCCGTACACGGAGGGAGCAGCACTTTATTACATTTTTAAAATGTGATGCGTAGACAAACTCATACTTCCAGCTCAGAGCAGAAGGGAGCCCATGGCTGCTGGCAAACCTGGTCTCAAAACTGCCCCAGCAAAAGTGGAACATGCCGAAGGGGCCCTGCACAGACCGGGGGCAGCAGCAGACAGTCGGCAGGGTGCACAGCCAGTGGGGTGCACAGCTGGCAGAATGCACAGCTGGCAGGGTGCACAGCTGGCGGGGTGCACAGCCCAGCTCAAGACACACAAGAGATTTGAATGGTTCAGTTGAGGTTTGAATCAGTAACCAAACACTATCAGATTCACATAGCACTGGCATAAATCCTTATATCAAAGGGGAGAAGTCATCTTTTTTGCCCTATATTTAATAGAATAATAATGGTTATTACCTTTGCAGTAATTTCAGAAGGCCCCTATGCAGAACTCAAGCCCTGTAGCAGTAGATATTGTTTGAATGATTAAACAGACCTGTTTCATATCTCAGAGGGCTCCTACCTTCATCCGTTACTGACTGTGCAGTTCCTAGTCCTGTTACAAATCATGCGGGCTGGAACGCCTGTCTATAGCTCTAATAGCATCTGGCAAATGTGAAAAGCCCTGAAACTCAGGGCACTGGGTGATAAGTGGGCTCTACGATCTCTGTTTTATTGATGAGGAAAATAAGGGGAACAGATGCAGCAAAACTACAACCACAAACAACCCTCTGAGCCAGGGCTGTGAACCTGACACCGCCCATGCTGTTCTCGAACGCCTCTCCAGACACCTCTAATGACTCCAGCAGGACACAGACCATATGGGAGTCCAGCTTCCCCTAATGGCAGCCCCGTGGGCACTGAGATTTCCTGATAAACAAACACACTGGTATAACATTTTTCAAAAGATTTAAACACCAAAAAAGGAAGTACCAGGTTGGGACCAACAGGTCCAGGAAACTGATAGATTAGACAGAAGCCTTCCCCCATCCCATTCCCCCTTCCTTTCCCTGGCATGGATCATTACCAACCCAACTGGCACCTCAGTGACAGAAGAGTGACAGGAGTGTGACAGTTCCAGCATAGGTGCCTGGAGAGAACCTGCACACACCTACCAAACGCTGGAGATTGAAGCAGCATGACCAAGACGTGCCCAGCAGAGGCACCCACCTCCCCCGTCAGCATTGCTGCATTCGCACAGGGCTCGTGCCAATGTGCCCTTTGCGTTGCATGCAGACAGCAGCAAGGGGATTCAAGGACACCAGCGGCTTGTCCCTGCTCTGTATGTGAAGAGGAGACTGCCACATGCATGACCTTCTCGCTCCCAGTGGGCCACCCACAGATAAGGCACTTTGCCAAGGGCTTCACCATCAGCGCTCACCAAGGGACCACTGCCACTCACCGGAGTCACGCAGTCAATGGGCAGCTCCATCTCACCCGGAGAGCAGCGTGAGAAGCAGCTTCCAGCCCACACTTTTCCAAAGATGTTTAGGGCCCAGCCACAAAATACAGATTCAGAGCAAATCTTCAGAGCAAAACATGTACATTTGAGGGTGCTTGGGCTGGGGTTTTAGAGCTCAGCCAGCCCTTGTTAGAGCTGCTAACATAAAATCTATTTTCATTACAAAATTAACCCTCCACATGAGGATTTGCTCCTAACCCGAGTCCACACCACACTCAAAAGCGCATATCTCAGAGGGGCCTTGCTTTGCACACCCACTGCCCCGTTACAGGGACAGCCACAACCGGTGCTCACCAATCTTTCCAGGTGCTACCACAGTCACCCTGCGTGGCTCGAGCAAAATTGGGTTCACACTGCAGGAAGATAAGACCTCAGACACAAGATGCTTCTGAAAGCACCCGGATAGCAGAGTATAAAAGGTTGAGAACAAAGAAATGATACAAGTATCCAGGGAAGGAGTTAGAGGAGGAAACAGCTCTCGGTTAGTAACAGCAATGCAGGATGGATGAGCCGGGGCCGGCTGGTATGCCAGGCGCTGCCGCCTCCCAGGAGCCCCATGCTGGGAAGCATCACCGAATTGCAGTGGTTGTCCAAATGCAAACCGGTGAAGCAAGCAATGGGCCTGGCAGGCATCTCCCACACACCCGTGTCCAGAAGGAGACACCCTGGGAGAGACGGGTGCTTCTCGCTTCCTGCTGGCATAAATCAGAAGCAATCCTCTGCGGTCCACAGAACTAAAGCGAGGAAGTGGGGGGAAGAGCAACCCCATCGTGTGCAAGCAACCAACACAATATTCAGCTGCTGTCAAAATAATCCTGAGTTTAGCTTTGGCATTTCTTAACTCCAGCCCCTTCCTCACACTGCATTTTTTCTAGGCAGCTGGTTGATCTCGTTCTGTCTTTACCCTCCTCGGGTATCACTGGGGAAAGGCAACCAGCTGAACCCCAAACAACCTGGGTAACGTTTTGTTAGCGCCAGTCTGAAATATCTCAGATGCTGTGGTGCGTGATACCACAGCACAGAGTCGTCTGTTAATAAGCCGTCCAACCCAAATAAACTTTGGCTTCACTTTGGAATTGATCTCCGAATTGAGGAGCGCTGCCGTCTCCCTGGGCAGCCGACCCTCCCGCATGAATTTAACCCTCCCTGGCCCGACCGCTCTCCTCTGACACAACGGTTTTGCTCAGGTAACATTAGGCATTTGCGCTCTTCGATGCGATGTGAGGAGGGGCGGGATGGCTTTTTCTATCACCGGTCCTGGGATGAAAACAGCCTTGACATCTCACATCCCCAGTTGGCTCACGGCCAGGCAGGGTGGAGCCGGCTAAACAAGCCACGGCTATCAAAATACTGCTTCTTTAAAAAGGCTCTTCGCTGGCTGCAGTCAAAGCCACGCTATGCCTAACGTCACTGAGTAACAGAAATAGCAGGCGTGAGTGAAGGGAGGAGAATGAGAGTATTAAGAGCGCACAGATTTCAAACATACTTGGCTAGGTAGCACGCTCCCTTCCTGCCGCTGCCCTTCCAGATGCGACGGAGCACAGGGATCTCTCGCTGTCTGCCCACGAAGAAGGATTCTCTTTTTTTTCTTTTTTCCCTTTTTTTTTTTCCTTTTTTAAGTTTCAGCTTTAATACTACTAGATTCATTTTTATTTTATTTCTTGTAGGAAGCTTCATCTGCTGGATTTAAAAGCAAGGTTTGAGCAGGAGGAATTCATTTATGTTTGTAGATACTGGAATGTGCATGGTACTCCTGTGTGATGATAATGTAGAGGGAAAGGCAGGATTGGCTGAGAAAATTGCTTAGACCATAAGATGCTTGAATGGCTGCTTGGAATAACCATCTCTCTATTGTGTGTGTGTGTGTGTGTGTGTGCATATGTGTGAGTGTGTGCATTTATGTACGAGTGCAGCAATGACAGTAACTTTAAAACAATGCAAGGTTTCCCCAGTTTGCTTAATTTTCCTCCTCTAGGAGTGAGGACTTGCCTAGCTGCGGGCTCTGTCTGGAGACAGGTGAAGTGTCTGAATTGAATTAGTGCTGTAGTCATTTTATGAATGAAGCAAAACGCAGATTCAGTGGAAGAGGAGCAGAGCGGGGAGATGCGGTGTGCTGAGCTCTCTCCGGCAGGAGCTGTCACACCAGGGAACCGCACAGATGTGTGCACAGGCATGGCACAGATCTGCTACAAGTGCCCGCAGCACAAAGTGAGGCAGCTGCAAGAAGACAGCACCTGGGCCATGGAAACATGCTCCTGAAAATGAGCTATCACAAATTCAGCTAAGCTTGATAGCTGAGTGTGTGACCAGCTCTGGGCTTAGCTGGAGCATCCCATGCAGAGCTATTTGTTTCCAACCAAGTGTGCCGGCAATCGTGTGGCAGAGGAGCAGGCAGAGCTCCCTGAGCATCCACGTCTCCTTCACGCGTGACGCTTTTGCTGCCAGCACAGCTCGTACATGAACATCGATAAAGTGGACGATGAGGGAGCAAGTCAGTGCATGGACAGGCTGGCTACACATGCCCAAAGCCAAGCAGGAGGAGACCGCACAGCACGGCAGGGGAGGGAGGAGGTAGATTTGGGGTTGCAAGGTTCAAGAAAGCTGAGGTGCTGGTGAAGCTGCTGGAGACCAGCCCAGAGGAACGACGTCCCAAAGGGGCACTGACCAGTGCAGGACCACGCTTCATCTCTCCCCCTTTGATGCCTGTACCCAAGGAACTCGGGTGGGAGATAGCTCTGTGTATTGTGGTTTTTCTCTCTTTTTTTGCACCCCTATCCCAATTGTTAAGTGAGGAGAAATCTCATTCTCCCTCTGTTCTGGATTGCTCTCTTTTATGCAGAATTTTTGCATGACATCTCCATAGCACCCATCTCCCGCAGCAGGTTGTAATGGGAAGAAAAGAAGATGAGGGCAAGCCGTGAAGATGATGAACATTGTCCATCCTCAAGTGTTACAGAGGTCACCGTCAGGGTCTTTGACACAAGGGCAGTGGACGAGGGCCTGGTGCTGTAATCCTGCTGCCAAGAAGCAAGTGGGAGGAAAGAGGCAAAGGAGTCAGAGCTGGTGTGGAGGCAAAGGGACACCGAACTCACTGGGAAAAGCTGCAAAACTTATTAAATTCCCAAGATAAAACAAACCCAACCTGCCCAGTGGAATGAGGCAGAGGGAAGTCTTTGCCTGCTGAGCCCTGCAACAACAAGGCACTCCAGCACCCCCTCTCATGGCGTTTTCCAAACAAAGAGGCAATCTGAGCCCTGTAAAATGCATAGTGCAAACGCACTTCTGTGTGCAGTGACCTCTAGGTTGGCACAGGCTTCTAGTATGCCTTAAAATTCAGGCATTTTAGCTACTTCTTCAGTGTTTCTTTCTCTCCGGTAGGTGCGATCTCCCTTTGCCTACATCCAGAGCCACTATAAATTCAAAGCAACACAGTCGTGATTTGTATAGTCTTGGGCTTGAGCTAACCAAAAGCTCCCAAATACAAAGAGTGACTACCTGCCTAACATGCTGCAGAGCAATCTCACACCTCGCTGCATAAGGCTGTTTAGACGGGTTCACAGACAGATTTGTCTGAAATCTATCTATGCAGAGACACGTGAAAATCTGTGGGATCACACTTGACAGAGAGCATGAAAAAAACCTGTGTTTACAGACATACAAAACCCACGGCAACCCACAACTTGCTCTATAGATAGAAAATGCTTTTTTTTCTCCATCACTCAACTACAGTTTGAAACTGCAGGTCAGGACATAGCAGGAGCTTCTCATTCAAGGAAAAGTTGCTCTGTGAAAACACTGCAGAAATGCTGGACAGGGCTTTGAGTGTATCACTTACACAAAATAGACAACAATTTGACTGCAAGTGGCAAATCCAAAGTTTGTTTTCCCTTTTTTGGGGTCTCTTACTCCTTCCGAATTAAGAGCTTAGCAAAGAGGTTTAAGCAATCACGCTGAGAGGTCTGTAAGCTGCCATTATGAATTTAGGAAGGATGCTTCTTTTCCCCAACCTCAAACTAATTTTAAGGATTGCAGCAAGCGGTTCCAATGATCCACACAGTCTCTTTCATCTCTTTTCCGTGGACACACTAAGAAATGTCATTCCTCAAAGCTGTGGTCTCGTAATGATGGCATGGACCTTACATACGAGTGGCCTCAGTGCAGAAGACCTTTGGTACGTGCAGACAGTGCAGATACGTACTCAGGGACAGGTAACTTCTAAATGATACTTTGTGTTGCTCTGGCAGATTTCTAATATGTTGGTTTCTGATGTCTTTCTTCTAGCAGAGAATGCAGATCTTCCTTGGATGAGACCCCGCTAAGAAATGGTTCAACATCTCCCAGCAGTCGCATTTCTCAGAGCAGAAAGAACAGATCTTCAGACCCCCGTGGCATGAACAAAGCCTCTGGCATTAAAAGGCCGGGAGGATGTCCTTAACTGACGAGCTGGAGAGCCACTTTTCTGCAACCCCTTACATGCTGACAGACACAAGCGAGGGCAGCCTGTTCAGAATCAGACCCAACGCCTCCGCCAATGCCACCGGGGATGGTGTGCCAGCTGCCAGTTCCATGGAGGACATGATCGCCATCTGCACCATCGGGACAATCCTCTCCCTCATGTGCGTGATTGGGGTGACGGGCAACGTCTACACCTTGCTGGTGATGTGCCATTACTTGCGATCATCTGCCTCCATGTACATTTACATCATCAACCTTGCACTGGCAGACCTGCTCTACCTTCTCACCATCCCCTTCATCGTTGGGACCTACTTCATTCAGAAATGGTACTTTGGGGACATTGGCTGTCGCATCCTGTTCAGTCTGGACTTCCTCACTATGCACGCCAGCATCTTCACCCTCACAGTCATGAGCACGGAGCGCTACTTTGCTGTGCTGAAGCCCCTGGACACAGTGAAGAGGTCCAAGAGTTACCGAAAGGCCATTGCTGTTGTCATCTGGCTGGTGTCACTGCTGCTCACTCTCCCAATGCTCATCATGATCCAGCTAGTGCAAAGCGACAACAAAAGCATCTGCCTGCCCACTTGGAGCAAGCTGTCCTACAAAGTCTATCTCACCATACTTTTTGGTACCAGCATCGTGGGTCCAGGGGTAATCATTGGCTACCTTTACATCCGATTAGCTAAGATTTACTGGGTGTCGCAAACAGCATCCTTCAAGCAGACCAAGCGGCTACCAAATCAAAAGGTGCTCTATTTAATCTTCACGATAGTGCTGGTGTTCTGGGCTTGCTTCTTGCCTTTCTGGATATGGCAGCTCCTCTTCCAGTATTATGAATCCTTCCCTTTATCTCCCAAGGTGATGAAGAACATTAATTATCTGACAACCTGTCTGACCTACAGCAACAGCTGTATCAACCCTTTCCTCTACACCCTGCTCACCAAAAACTACAGGGAGTACCTGAAGAACAGACAGCGGTCCCTTAGCAGCAGCAGCGGGTACTTCCAAAGGAGGAATCGGTTTCAGAGGATTTCGGGGAGATCCCTGTCCACGAGCAGTCAGCACTGCACAGAGACATACGTTCTTGCTCACGCTCCTTTGGGAAACAGCAGTGCCTGAAGGTAAAATATATCTCCAAGAACAATCAATACTGACTTCAGTGTTGCTTTGATTTAAAGTGTACATTGTAAATGCAAAGCCTTAGCAGACCCATAATGTGCACACATTTAGTCCAGAGGCTGTGCCATATGTCTGTTCTCATTTTCTTCAGTGCCGCTGATTTGATGCTAGCAACATTCAGCTGAACATCTATCTAAATAACCTTTCGCTTTTTATCTTTATATTTTATAGCGTATGTCTCCTCAAGTAGTCATCAATAATGAAAGCCTATAACAGGACCATGCTTTTTAATAGTATCAGCTGTCTCACAGAGTTTAAAATTATGTTATCCCGTGAATGGCTGTGGTTTGCTCTTTCTTTTCTTTAGCAGTAATGCTAAATTTGTAGTTGCATGAGGACTGAAAACAATGAAATAAAGACAAAGCAGCTGATGGTCGTGACATGCAATCCAGTTTGAATTTGGGGTAGGACCGGACAACGTAGATGAGGCATATCCAGGGGTGTTTGTCCTGGTTTTGGTCGCATTCACATTTATTCTACACTCATGTGTATGCACTGGGCTTGATTCTCCATTCACACAGGTGTCTGTAGTGGAGTTACACCACGGTTAGCAAGACAGGCTTCTCATGACAGTGCCACGGTCAGGGAACATGCAGCATCCCCTAATGCGCTGAACCCAAACACATGAGCACCCATGTTGGGGAGCACCATCTGTCCTGGACAAGTGTATCTGCCCTCTGCCCTCCTCCCAGGAGGAATTGGGAACCTCTGATGTTGTTATTCTCAGGGCATCCATCGACAAACTGCAACATCCAGCCTGAGGGACCAGACCTACATCACCAAGTCCAGGAGGAAAAGACAGAGGGAGAGAAGGGGGGGTGAGGAGATGTGATTTTCAATGGGCAAAAGCTATGCTATCTGAAGTCCCTAATATTCTCAATTATAAAAGCGCTAGTTCCCTATTAGTGAGATCACTTGTTCCCTTCACAGGAGGTGATTTTGCTTTACTGCTACGAAAAGCAAATATAGTCCTGCCTACACCAAGAACACTTTGCCTGTGCTGGCTTTCACTGATGATAAAACATCATTAGTATAAATACGTCCTCCATGATATCTGGCACTTCTCCAATGAGTCTAAAAGTACCTTCTCTGGGATGCTGCCAACATCCGTACAGGAGTCCTCTGCTTACATTAGCCCCATCACCTCATTAGCAAGCATACAACGATGCAATGCCAACACAACTCTAACCAAGTTACAGAATTAGAAGGAAATTAATGCTTAGGAGTAAATTCAGGACTGCAGTGTGATATGCCATTTGGCAGTGAACTCCATTTTCTTATACAGAAACTGAATTTAGGTTTTAACCATCTACTCCCCCTTCAAGTCATTTAAGTGGTCATTGTTCATGAGGACAGTGAAAGCTCTGCTTCCAGCCTCCCTGGGTGATATGCTTGGAAAATAAATTGCCTTTTTCATGCATGGGCTTAAAGTTTGTTATATATGGGGAAGATTGCACATGTCATGGAAGAGGACTCTCATGCATGCAGTTTCAACGTTGAGCTGTTGCAGAAACTGGAAGAGCCTCACTTTGTGTTCCCAACTGCCTCCACGCACACCATCCGCAGTGGTCCTGCAGGTCAGGGCGCCTTACTTGCACCCTGCTTGCAGTGCAGTACATCAACCAGCAAGTCCTACTTCAGGATTAGCCCCTTCCTGATTTCAGAAGGGAATACCATTATATTTAGCTATTTCCTACACTGACAGTCCTTCTTAGTTTTCAGACCCTCCTCAGTCTGGAGACACACTAGTCAAAGCCCATTAGAGAGAGTAAAGCATCATTTACCCTACTGTAAGGAAGAGGGAGCACATGGATGAGAGGTGAAAAGGCTTGCCATATTCATGAACCCATTTTCCGCTTAGTCAGCTGTTTATCATGGGTCAGAATGTAAAATTTGGCCTCTTTTTTTTGGAAATTGCAATTTTAACTTCTCCTTTCTCAGAAATAGCCAGACAAGCTCAAGACAAGCTCAGCACAAGCAGTTTCTATTGTTGTGAAGGAAAGCTACTGTGGGTTGAACCTTCTGAAAGCACAGTCCATCTTTTCTAAAATCAGATAGTCAAAATGAGAGGGCAGTTTGCAAATCTCAATTCATCCAGGCTTTGCACATCAATGAGGGCAGTGCAGAAGAGTTACCGAATGACACAGGAGCAGATCTGTCTCCAGAGTTAATCAGTTGAACGCTTTTGTCCCCAGTGGTACTGCTCTGATTAACTTCTCCAAGCCCACCACAACCAACGTGTCTCACAGAAAATATTTGCAAAAAGCCTGCCATGGCTCTGTAGGTGCAACAAGCAGCCTGAAAGCAGCACGAGCAACGTGCTGTGGAAGCATGGCCATGCCAGAGGTCCTGCCGTGCCCTGGGAGGTGAGCTGGGCTCAACACAGGGCGCAGGGCTTCCCTGCCTCCCCAGGAGGACACACAGCCTCAGCCCTGGGCTGCACGGTCTTGTTTCTCATTTGAAGCCAGTGCTGTGCTCTCAGCAGGGGCTTGCAAGTGTGTTTGTAAAATCAGCACAACAAAGCCAAGACAAAAGAAGACACCGGCAAATCAGGGAACGATTGCAGGTGATGTTTCAGTCAATACTGGGTCATCTTTGAATGATGAGATGTTTCATTCAAGCCTTTCAATTTCCACCCCAGGCTAGGGTTTTTTTTTTTTGCTCTTTAACATTCACATCCATCACCACTCAGCACAGGCAACAGTAAGGGAATATTATTCCAAGTCTACAGGTAAAAGCAAGGCTCTGCGCAGTTCACAAGCAGCATGTGCCCCAGCTCCGCATCCCTGACTAACTTTACAGGGCATCAGTCACACTCAGATACCAAACATTAGGCAGCTGTCCTCTTCCTGAAACCAAACAGCAACTCAACCACAAGAGCCTGCTGAAGATAAATGGGGGGCCCGAGCAGCCAGTGAGGTCTGAAGAAGGAACTGCCACCCCCAAGACAGATTAATTGCTTGGTTAACAATAGCTACAAAATAATTATTGCGCCCTATTTATTCCTCCTTGCAGAAACCTATCATCAGTCAAAGATCCAAGAGCTGATTTTTGCATAAACAAAATTTGAAATCAGTGTGAAAGGGATGTGTGTGCACACGTGGCCGTGTGCTTGCATACTTCAGATCATGCCCCTACACCTGCACCCTATTTGCTAGCTCTTTCTTCTCTGTGAGGTGAGACCAGAAGTTCTTTCATCATCCTGAAGTCTTAAATCCCCCCGTCTCCAGGGCATTTGGTGCCCCACAGACTGGATTTCACCAGCTGAACTCCAGGTAGCAGAAGTCAAAACTCCAATTACTTGCTATTTTAAGCTAGGGAGCATTTATCAATGCCTCAAGACTCAAAGAAAGTATAGCTGTAAATACACCATGGCAGGGTGTCCAAAAAGGGCCAGGACAGAGACGCCAGCCCCTGCGCTGCTCCTACCAGCAAGGAAAGGCCGGGTACCCACTCTGGTGGCTGAAACAGGCAGCAAACTACAGCTGGGGCCAGGCAATGTTTTCAGTTGGATGGTGTCTTTGCCAGAAGAGGATGACGTGTGTGTTTAGCCAACTATTTGCAAATCCACCCAGACATTTAAGAATCCTTCTGGAAATTCTTTTTTCTTTTCTTTTTTTTCTTTTTCCAAAAACTGAATTGTCTCATTTCAGCCTTTAGGAGGCAAAACAACACAATTTCTCACTTGAAGATGAAGTTTTGTTCATCAGTTTGCTTACACTTATTTTTAAAAATCCTCTGTCCATTTTGTTCAAACTACAGGACTTTTACAAAAAGTCCTGCAGTTCAAGTAGCAAAGCAGAGAGCAGCTGCTCACCGCGCTGTGCATCCCTCTGCCCAAAACCTGCCTGGACAGGGTGGGCACCGACAGTGGGGAGTGGTGCAGCGCCCACCCTCTGCCCAATTCCCACTCGCAGAGTCGCAGCAATCATAGGCATAAACCTTCCTCCTCGCCCGCTGATGGAGCCTGATTTAAGCTGATCGATAACCCGTGTCCGGTCTGAGCCCCCTCCTTGTTCCTGCAACCTGGTCACTGCAAGGGCACAAGATGAGGCCGATTTGGGCCACCCCTTTCTCCTGTGCGGATGCCCCACCTCACTCCCTGGGAGATAACCGGGCCAACAATTCTTCAGTCTACCTCTAACTAGACAGAAAAACCTCAGCACATGGTCCCAGAAGAGGATCTGGCCAACAAATCAACATGCACAGTTGTGTTTCACTTACAGCTGCAAGATGGGCAAGGACTGGCTTGGGATATAAGGAGCTCTTTAGCTCTAGGTCACTAGTTCAGCACGTGGCCAAGTTGTGAGGGGTGGGATTTCCAGATTGGCAGGTGATCTCCTTTCATTTCTCTGGGGTGCTTGCTAGGAAACCTCTCATTTCAGTGTTTGCTTGAGGACATTGAAAGGAGAGGCCAAAGGTTGAGCAGATCTCAGAGAGCAAATCCACACCTTGGCAGAGCTGCCTAGAAAAAAATATTCCTCTTGCCGGTGCTGTCCCACTTGCATCTGCCGTGACTGCCACACCGGGATGCCTGCGCTGAAATTATCTGCCCCAGCCATGCCTGAGGCTCCCTCCATGCAGCGCCCAGAGGAGCTGCTGCACAGCACACGT